TTGGATTAGATCATTGTTTCCCAAAGTATGTTCTTTGCAGAAAATTAGTCCCAAAAGAGACCCTTTTTTTTCGGGGGGGGGGACAACACTATTCTGTAGTCAAGGTCAGGAAACTGCCTATAAATTCTCTCTTGGAATTGACAAGGCACTGAGAAGTCCTGTATAGAAAACCTGTTTAGCTTGTTTAACCAGACACTTCCTAGACTCATCTGCCCAGAGCCCCTCTTGCAGCATTCCATGAATGAGCATTCCTAGGGAGTGGACCATGGGAATACTGACATTTTAAGTTCCATGCCTTCCAAATGTGAGGCTGCTCACTGCTCTCTGGTGGTGCTTGCTGGGAGTTGGTGGGTTAGAACCAAGTGAGAGCCTACTCCTGGCAGCCGCCTCCCCCCTGAGAGAATGGGAGAGAGGAAAAGCCACTCGGTTAACCCTTCATCCTTCGAGGTAGGCATTTCTTGTTTTTCATATTATCCTCTTTTAGTGTATATTCCTAGAAAATGCATTTTCAAATTCATATAAATAAAAAAGAACGAAGATTACTCATCATCCTGTCACCCATAGAAAGCCACTGTTAGTTTTGATGTCTGTCCTCTGGACTTTCCCCTGTATGTTTATACATATTCTCTTGAGAAATTGTACATACTGGTTTTTTTGTTCGGTCATTTTTTTTTTAATTTCAGAGAGGAAGGGAGAGGGAGAGAGAGAGAAACATCAATGATTAGAGAGAATCATTGATCAGCAGCCTCCTGCATGCCTCACGCTGGGGACTGAGCCCATAACCCAGGCATGTGCCCAGACAGGGAGTCGAACCATGACCCCCTGGCCCATAGGTCGATGCTCAACCACTGAGACATGCTGGCCGGGCTCAGTCATCTTTGTGTGTGTGTGTGTGTGTGTGTGTGTGTGTGTGTGTGTGTGTGTGTGTTTTCCAAAAACAAATATGGGGTTATATTTCAACTTTTACTTTTTTTTACTTAACACATAATAAACATCCTTCTAGGTCTGTACATGTGGCTATGGCAGATATTATTATCCAAATTGTTAAATGAGGGAACTGAAGATCAGAGACAGAAATACCTTGGCCCAGGTCACACAGCTAATATCCAGAGTGCTGGGTGCCAGAGCGTGGCATGGATGATACCCAAGCCTCTCGTGACTTGAGGGTTGTGGTCGGGCAGCTGCAGTGTCTGAGGAAGTTCCCCTGCAGGTGGGCTTAGAGATCGGGTGGTCCAGCTGTGGCTCAGAGCAGAGAAATTCTTTCCCCAAAGTTTTTGAGCAAGCAGTGGGATTCAGACCTCGCCTCCCAGCAGCTAGTTCAGGCACCATTCCATGAGGCCACCGGCCTCTCCCAGGAGCCTGGAGCTGCCAGTTCCAGAGCTCTGGGAGTGGTTGCCCCCAAGTCCTCTGAAAAGTGATCCTCGTCTATAAATAAGCCAGGCTCACATGTCCTAGCACATTGTGTGGGGGAATAAAGAAATGTCTAAAACAGCAGCTCGATTATGCCCAAGGTATGTATTTTTACACATGCCCAGATATAGTACATGTACAAATATGCTATTCATAAACTCAGCCCAGTGGTTTGAAGGAGACCATATGCCTTGGTGTAGGGTGTGCACATGTGCAGTTAATAAACGCACTCTGTCAGGGTATATGTGCATATTTTTGAAACTGATGGTGAAGACTAGACCCTAAGGCAACTCCCTGGTACTTAAACTGATTTCTAATGATAGGGGATAATTTTTCTTCCATGGGAACCAGTCATCAATGAGAGTAATGTTTTCCAAAATCCAGGCATTCATAAACCTCCTTTATAATGTTGGCCGTCCCTGAACAATTTATACAATCACTTACTTAATACATTTCTCAGAATCAGCTCTCTCTTTTGTAACTTAACACATACTAAAAAGAAGCATTATCTCACTGCAGTAAAATGGAAAACCAGCAATACTTACCATAAATAGAAGGTGGCCATAAAAATAAATACATAAGCACTGGAATCAAAAAATGTGTGTCTGGATCCATTTGAAGTCATTTTGTTACTGCCATTCACTCACACTTTAAAAACATGGCGCTAAGGGACTCAAATTCCATGGGCTCCTTCATCCAGTCTTCCGCCCTGGCCATTTCCAGTGTCCGAGTCTGTCAACATGGTGTGACCCTCAGCTAGTGTCCTTTGACCCCAGGGGCATCTCTGTAGGGCTTAGGGCAGTGATGGCGAACCTATGACATGTGTGTCAGAGGTGACACTCGAACTCATTTTTTTGGTTGATTTTTCTTTGTTAAATGGCATTTAAATATATAAAATAAATATAAGTCTTTGTTTTACTATGGTTGCAAATATCAAAAAATTTCTATATGTGACACGGCACCAGAGTTAAGTTAGGGTTTTTCAAAATGCTGACACGCTGAGCTCAAAAGGTTCGCCATCACTGGCTTAGGGTGAGGCTCTTTGGCCTCAGGAAACTCAGAGCAGCTGTGTCATCCCTTCTGTGTTCCTGAATCCCTGGGTCCAAGTGGCCTTTCGGGGGAGTAGGGCAGCAGGCTCAGTCTCAGGCTTGGAAAGAGAATTCCTCCCTTTTGGATAGAGGTTGCTTTTCATTCTATAAGTAGCTATTTTGTTTTATTTGACATTTGAATTAATTTTTAAATGATAAACTATGCTAACTTTAAGGGGGGGAAATTACCTACCACCTGAACACAGACAGCTATTACCATTTTTGAGTATTTCTTCCAGTCTTTTTAAATATGTGTACCATTTACACCATTGTAAAGATGTGTTTAGAGTTTGTGATTGGTAGATGTTTATGTCCACTATCTGATGTGAGCTCATAAGACGTTAAAAAGGTTAGGGTTGTGAAGTAGGCAAGACAGAAATTAGTTAACCCATTTTTCAGATGAGAAGCTGAGGCACAGATATGTGATGTCACTTGCTAAAATGTTGGAGCTAATTCTCTCCAATCTGCCACTGAGCCTGGAGTTACAGAACAAGGTGTACAAGACACATACTTTTTTCCATTTAAAATTTTTAAAGTTTATATTTCCAAACTAATAAACATTCACTGTAATTAAAAAAAAAAAAAGCACAACAAATAAGTCCCCAGTAATCCCACTTCCAGAGAAAACCTCCCTGAGTGATGGGAGCTTTACCACCCTTGACTTTTTTGTGTATATCCTAACATGTCATTTATTTATGTTCCCAAAATAGAGTTGCTTCATAAACACTGTTTTGTGACTCTTCCCCCCACTAACCAATAGATCTTGGACCTCTCTCCAGGGACAGAGCTTCTAAAACCACATTTTAACCAAACAGAAAAGATTTAGAGCAGGGGAGGACTTTTTTTCTGTTGAGGGCCATTTGGATATTTATAACATCATTCGAGGGCCATACACAATTATCAACTTAAATATTAGCCTGCTATATTTGGTCAAACATTTAATTAACTCACCCCTAATGCCTTGGCAGGGCCGGACCAAATGATTTCTCGGGCCTTATACGGCCCACGGGCCAGACGTTCCCCACCCCTGCTGTAGATGAACACTAACAGTGGTTCTATTTTGCTCTGTTGGCCATCACAACAGCACATCTGAGAAAAGGTATTCGTTCATTCATTCAACACATCATTAAGGACATGTTACTTGTCAAATGAGGTATTAGCTCTCGGAGCATAATTTCCCTGGAAAGGCCAGGGAACCTTGGGGTTAAGAAGTGTAGGAAGCACGAAGGGTCTTGGAGGCCGAGTGTATAAGGTGGAAGAAGCCTGGATGGGGATGGGAGTTTTGTTTCCCAGATAAGTCCTGCTTGTCCTTCCCCACTTGGCCTTTCCCAAGAAATTTCCTGTGGCTGCAGGCTGAGTCCAGCCCAACATTTTACTGCCAACCACACTTTGCCTCCTTGTCCCTTCTCCCCGACTGCCCCAACACAGATGTGGGCAGCTGTTGGAGCTGAGGGAAGATGCCGGGGCATAGGTGGGTTGGCCTTTGGGGTGAAGGAGGGAGGATGCAGATTTCTGTTTTTTCTCTAGTCTTTGGGCCACAGTACCTTTCCAGGCCCATGGCCAGAATTCTCTCCCAACACCCTTGAGTTAGTTCTCATCTCCTGTGTTTAGGTTTTCTTATACCCCGTTTCCCCACAAGCTAAGGGATCTTCACCAAGTGCACAGCTGCCCATTTCCTCTTTGACCTTGGCCCAGCCTATAGCCAGGGGCCAGCTTCCCCACTTGGCCTTTCCCAAGAAATTTCCTGTGGCTGCAGGCTGGGACCAGCCCAACATTTTACTGCCAACCACACTTTGCCTCCTTGTCCCTTCTCCCCGACTTCCCCCACACAGATGTGGGCAGCTGTTGGAGGTGAGGGAAGATGCTGGGGCATAGTTGGGTTGGCCTTTGGGGTGAAGGAGGCGGGGATGCAGATTTCTGTTTTTTCTCTTAGTCTTTGGGCCACAGTACATTTCCAGGCCCATGGGCAAGAATTCTCTCCCAACATCCTTGAGTTAGTTCTCATCTCCTGTGTTTAGGTTTTCTTATACCCCGTTTCCCCACAAGCTAAGGGATCTTCACCAAGTGCACAGCTGCCCATTTCCTCTTTGACCTTGGCCCAGCCTATAGCCAGGGGAGAGCCCACCCCCCTGGCCTCCATGGGACACATTTCCTGCTTTGTCTGTCAAGCAAGGTCCTGGGCCTTCCTAGCCTGAACCATATTCCACCCCCCCTGTTACCAGAGGGCAGAGAACACTACCCCCAGCCAGCCTGCTTCTCCTCAGTAATACTAGGATACATGTTGGCTGGGTTTGCTGGGGTCCATGTCCCTTCCATTGGCATTCTCAGCCACCTAAGGGCTGCTGAGATGGGCAGGTGGGAAGCACGTGGGATTTGGTACCAGAAGACCTGGATTCAAGTTTTAATTCTGCTCCAGTTGTGAGGCTCTGCTCTCAAAGCCTTAGTTTTGTCACCAATAAAATGAAGGATGTGATCCTCTCTATTTCTTGGGCTTGTTTTGAGGGTCAGATGAGATAGTGTGAATGAAAGAGACTTTACCAGGGAAGGAAGGAGGTAGAGAAGGTTGTATAATAAAAGGAAGTCCTCTCCCACTTTTAGCTCCCAGGATCCTAGGGCCCCTCCTCAGAGACAACCACCATCACCAGGGACACTCAGTGCCGGCATATATGTGCACATAGCCCCCCACACGCACTGTGGAAACTTCCTGTGTCGGCACACATGGAGCTGCCTCCTTTGTAGCAGCTGCCTAGCATTCCATTGTGTGAACGTACCCAAACCGATTTAGTCAGTCCCCACCCTACAGAGGAACACTGGATTGTTTCCAGTCTTTTGCTATTGAAGACAACGCTGGAGTGAATATTGTTAAGCATACATTTTTGTGTCCATGTTTGAGAATATCTGTGGGAGAGAGTCCTCGAAGCGGTGCTGCTGGGTCAAAAGGCAGGTTTGACTTTTAAGATATCACCAGCTTGTCCTAGAAAGAGGGTGTATGGATTGGCATGGCCACTGACAAGACAGGAGTGCCTTCCCCCCATTCCTTCATCCAAGTAGGGTGTTATTGAACCGTTTGACCTTTGCATATCTGATAGGTGAAGATGGTATCTTCTAGTTCTAATTTGCATTTTAAAAATGACGAGTGAGGCTGGAAAATGAGACACCGTAGGTCTTTCAGGTTGGAGTGGGGAGGCCCGCCTTGGGCACACCACCCTCCCTGTAGAGCTCCTGCCCACCTCACCGGTGCCCTCTTCCCCTTCCCAAGGCTCATCACTCTTCCCAACGGGGTTCTCCAGATCCTGGATGTTCAGGAGAGTGACGCAGGCTCCTACCGCTGCGTGGCCACCAACTCAGCCCACCAGCGCTTCAGCCAGGAGGCCCTGCTCCGGGTGGCCCGCCGAGGGACACTGGATTGTTTCCAGTCTTTTGCTATTGAAGACAACGCTGGAGTGAATATTGTTAAGCATACATTTTTGTGTCCATGTTTGAGAATATCTGTGGGAGAGAGTCCTCGAAGCGGTGCTGCTGGGTCAAAAGGCAGGTTTGACTTTTAAGATATCACCAGCTTGTCCTAGAAAGAGGGTGTATGGATTGGCATGGCCACTGACAAGACAGGAGTGCCTTCCCCCCATTCCTTCATCCAAGTAGGGTGTTATTGAACCGTTTGACCTTTGCATATCTGATAGGTGAAGATGGTATCTTCTAGTTCTAATTTGCATTTAAAAAATGATGAGTGAGGCTGGAAAATGAGACACTGTAGGTCTTTCAGGTTGGAGTGGGGAGGCCCACCTTGGGCACACCACCCTCCCTGTAGAGCTCCTGCCCACCTCACCGGTGCCCTCTTCCCCTTCCCAAGGCTCATCACTCTTCCCAACGGGGTTCTCCAGATCCTGGACGTTCAGGAGAGTGACGCAGGCTCCTACCGCTGCGTGGCCACCAACTCAGCCCACCAGCGCTTCAGCCAGGAGGCCCTGCTCCGTGTGGCCCGCCGAGGTAAGGGGCCCACCGCTGGGGGAAGCCAGGGTGTTTCTGGAGTCAGCTTGGAGGGGCCTCAGAGGTCCAAGCCCTGCCTTCAAAGAGGTGATGGGGTATCACTCCCATCAGACAGGAGAGGTGATGAAGCCCAGAGAAGCAGTGCCATGCAACAAGTCAGGGAGAGACCTGGGCTGGATTCCCAATGCAGGGTTCCCTTCCTGTGGAGACCCTGTGCTCCCTTGGGCTGGTTGGAGCATCTAGGGCTGGGGGCAGGTGGGGAGGTAAGGCATCTGAGGAAGGGTGTCAGTGCCCTGCAGCCCTGGTCCCTGTCCCTCTGGGGGCTCAGGGAACTGGGGGGTTACCCTTTGCTACTTGGAACTTGGCAGGCATCAGTGCTCAGGGAGCTGCCAAGCCAGCAGAAACTCGAGCCCATCCCATACCTTTCGCACATGGGGCCTGGAGACCCTTTGGAGAAGGGACTTGTCCAAGGTCACCCAGCGGGATGATGATGATAAGTGTTGGAACTAGGAACTATGACTGTTGACTCCAAGTCTGCTCATGACCCTGACGGTCCTGGAGGGTGGGTTCAGTGCGGCAGGGAAGAATGGGGCGGTGTGCTGGAGACCAGGTTATTCCTCTCCTGGCTCCAAGAGGAAGAGGCCCCAGTCCCAGTTCTGGGGAACTACATGGCTGCTTTCCCCATCTGTCAGATGGAACCCTGGCTGCTCCCTGCCCCACCTGCCTCGCCAGGGGCACCAGGGGAAGTACACATGTGAAGGCACCTAATGGGCCTAATGGTAAGACTGCCTGCTGGTCTGCCCTCTCTCCAGGGTCCCTGGCGTCTACCGGGGGGCAGGACGTGGTCATTGTGGCAGCTCCGGAGAACACAACCGTGGTGTCTGGACAGAGTGTGGTGATGGAATGCGTGGCCTCTGCTGACCCCACCCCTTTCGTGTCCTGGGTCCGACAGGGTAAGTGGAGGGAGGGAACTGAAAGGGCAGGGGGGAGGAGGGGCGTGGCATCTCATGTGTCCACAAGTCACGGAGCTCTAAGGGTGACCACTTCATAGTCACAGCCTTTGGTGTGGCAGGAACTTGTCTCCCAGGGCCGGGTGTGGGTAGGGGACCTGGACAAACTTAATAATCAATCAGTGTAGCATGTTTCCTTTACAAGGCACTTTGAATGTGCCACTCACAAAGTCTTATTGAGACCTTACTTAATGTGGGCACCGAGCTAGCTTCTCCCCCTTATTTCATTCCTCACAACCGGGTTGCGAGAGAGAGTGAGAGCTGGAGTGTGAGAGCTGGAGAGGTGCCACACAGCCGGCGAGTCGGGTTGGAACCAGGCCCCCACTGCTGCTCTGGTTAGTCACAAAGCGGCCTCTTGGTCCACCCAGTGTTCTCCGCCTTTGTGTGCCTGGCTTCATGCTGGGCACAGTGAATAAAATACCCAGATGAGAGCCACAGGGGCCCTCTGCACTCACAGTCTGGGTGAGGGAGATAAGACGCAGCCATAAAAGAAGCTGCACAGTGTGACCGTATCAGGCGGCAAGTGATAAGTGCCAGGTGGGACTGCGTTACCGGAGATGCTATCCGGGTAATGAGAGCGCTGGGCCAGCCCTCACCTTGCAGTCTACTGAACCCTCACACCTGCTCTCCCACCAGAGCCCCCGAGAGCCCTTGGAGGAGAGTGTAAGAAGTAAGGCGAGCCCCCAGGTTCAGGGGTCCTGGTAGGACAGAAACCATACTCGGGAGCCAGGCAGCAGGCAAACATCTTTCCTCCTGCAGGATGGTGCGCTGCACAGGGTCTGGGAGCACAGGCACACTGAGTCAGGGCTGCTCAGCTTTTTAATTCTGACCCGGGTGACCTGTCCCTCACTCTTGATTGGAGCTCAGGCTCACAGTCTTTCGCGATTGGCTGATTCAAAGGAAGGGGTTGGCCTTTGCCGGTTCAAGAGGGCGGCCCCCAGGGGAGCGGCAAGTCATGCGGCCAACATGGTGGCTGCCAAGTCACGCAGCCCAAAAGAGGCTGTCTACACTGTTCTTTGACAGAAAAGATGACTTGTTTATTCTCACAAGAGGGAGGGCCAGGACTGCTGTTCCCAGTAGGCAGATGCGGAAGCTGAGGCTGAGAGGCAGGCAGGAAGCCAGGACCCAAACTGTAGAGCTAGTCCTTCTGCTATACCACTCCCTACAGTCATGAATGGAAGAAAAGCCAGTATTATTATTTTTTCCTAAATATATTTCTATTGATTTCAGAGAGAAGGGGAGAGGGAGAGAGAGATAGAAACACCAATGATGAGAGAGAATCATTGATCAGCTGCCTCCTGCACGCCCCACACTGGGGATTGAACCCACAACCTGGGCATCTGCCCTGACCGGGAATCGAACTGGGACCTCCTGGTTCATAGGTTGACACTCAACTGCTGAGCCACACCAGCTGGGCACCAGTATTATTTTTGTTTCCATTTGTCCATAAGAAGTGACTTGTCCCAAGCTGATGGTAGAAGTAGTCTTAAACCTAGTCCTCTTTATCCTTCTTCCCTGGCTCAGCGTGTTACCCTACAACCATGGTCGGCAAACTGCGGCTCGCAAGCCACATGCGGCTCTTTGGCCCCTTGAGTGTGGCTCTTCCACAAAATACCACGTGCGGGTGCGCACGTACAGTGCGATTGAAACTTCGTGGCCCATGCACAGAAGTCAGTATTTTGTGGAAGAGCCACACTCAAGGGGCCAAAGAGCCACATGTGGCTCGCAAGCCGCGGTTTGCCGAGCCGCGGTTTGCCGACCACTGCCCTACACTACCTCCTTTTTGTAAGTTTGTATCTCACAGTCAAGAGTACACAATGAATACACAAAGTTTAAGGAAAAATAATGAGCCCAACAACTACGTACCTCTCCCATTGATCTGATGAGATAGAACAGTGCCAGAATCTTTGCACTCCCTTACCTGCATGGCCTCATTGGACTTGTGACACTTGCCGAGTTAGGGGGATCCCAGGGCCAGCAGGGACCTCATGCTATTATTGGGGGAAGCCTGTGATGTTGCCCAGAAGTTCAAATATCAATGTTTCTCAATACTGACCATGCGCCAGAATGACCCCAGGAACTTGTTAAAACTGCAGACTCCTTCCCTTCACACCTAGAGAGTTGTAACCCAGGAATCAAGTGCCCTAGGTCTTTGCTACTGAAAGTGTGGTCTTTGGATCTACCACCTGGGCCTAGTTAGAAATGCAGAATCTGGTCCTGCCCTAGGCCTCTGCATATTAGGGTCCCCTGCAATTCCATCATTCATGTGTAACAACAAGGGTTTGAGGATTGCTGCTCCAGAGGATCCTGACACCTGTAGTTTTGGGAACTGACTTGGAGAAACTCAGCTAATAACACTGCTGGACAGAGGCTGGGAAGAGAAAGACCCCAAAAGGACTTCATTCCTGACCCTGGGCACAGTTACTTTTCCACTAAGTCAGGGAAGGGACTTTTGTTTTATTTTCTTCTTATTGCAAACATTATATGTGTTCACTGTAGAAAACTGGCGAAAAGCAGAAAGAGAAAACATCTCACCATTCAGAGATAAAAACTGTTAACATATGGGTGTATTCTCTTCCAGATTTTTTTTTTCTTTGCACATGTACATTTCCCCCTGAAATTGAGAGCATGTTGAATTTACAGTTCCAAGCCCTATTTTCATTCAACAGCATCTCATTAGCATTTTCCCATCTTTAAAACTTTTTCAAAAAATAATTATGACTATACTAGAGGCCCAGTGCATGGATTCATGCACCAGTGGGGTCCCTCAGCCTGGCCAGCAATCAGGGCTGATCAGGGCCAGCTGGCCAGGGGTGGTGGTGGGGGGGGAGGTACCACAGGAGGTTGGCTGGCCGTGGGAGGTTGGCTGTGGGAGCGCACTGACCACCAGGGAGCAGCTCCTGCATTGAGCACCTGCCCCCTGGTGGTCAGTTCACATCATAGCAACCAGTTGACTGGTCATTCAGTCATTCAGTCACTTAGGCTTTTATATATAGAGAGTCCCGGTGCATGGAATTCGTGCACTGGTGCTGGGCATGGCCTGTGGGGATCTGCCCGCTGTGGGAGTGCCGCTCATCCCACTCAGCTGAGTGGCTGTGAACCTGCCCTCTGAGCAGCTGCTCCCCACTCATCCCAGTCAGCCCAGTGGCGCTCCCACTGTGGTCAGTGTGCATCATAGCAACTGGTCGACCTGTCGTTCTGGTCTTTCCCCGTTCAGTCACTGGGCTTTTATTATATAGGATAATGTTCCATTATTTGAATATAGCTGTAATGCAATTTTCCAGTTCCTACTGTTAAAATTTTAAGTCCTTTTCAGTTGTCCACTATTACAGTTACACTACAGTGATCAGCCCTTCACATCTCCCCAGGACAGGTGCCCATAAGTGAAATCCCTGGCTTCTAGGTTAAGGTGGAGCCCCTGTATAGTCCTATCAGCATTTACTCTTTCTCCAGCATTGCAACTTATTGTCTTTAAACACATTCCCAATATGAAAATGAACATCTGTATTTTGATGTGCATTTCTTTGATTATGTGAAGTTGAAAGCTCTTTTTATGTGTTTCTTGGCCATTTGTGTTTTTTCCACTCAGGAGTGTGTCCTTGTAAGAAATCAAGTTTAACAACAATGGTAATAGTCATTGACAAGTGTACTGAGCACCTGTTATGTGCCCGCACTGTGCCAGGGTTCTCACAAACCTTATTCATCCCACCCCCTAGCAGTCCTTCCAGCGAGGGACTACCTCCTTATTTTACAGAGGGAGGCACTAAGATTCAAAGGCCGTCACTAGGTTAGCGAGTAGGAGAACTGAGATTCCAACCAGGCACTGTTATGGTCTCATAACCCGGGTGTAGAGGGGCCCCCCGAGGTCGGGGAGTGGATGGAGGGGCAGTCCTCACCTACCCCTTCAGTGCTCTCCCTTCTCCCCCAGACGGGAAGCCCATCTCCACGGACGTCATCGTCCTGGGCCGCACCAACCTGCTGATCGCCAGCGCGCACCCCCGGCACTCGGGCGTCTATGTCTGCCGAGCCAACAAGCCCCGCACGCGCGACTTCGCCGCCGCCGCCGCAGAGCTCCGCGTGCTGGGTGAGGCGGGGCGAAGCTGGGGGAGCGGGTGTGCGGGGAGACCGATGGGGCAGGTAGCTGGGACCGAGGGAAGAATAGAAAGGGGGAAGGGAGCAACTGGGTGTTTTGGAGAATTGGGAGACATGCTGCCAGAGAGGTAGGGCTGGGGGAGGGGCTGGTGGGGAAGAGAGCTTCGTAAAGGGGGGGAGGGGGAGGTTTGGAGGGGACAGACTTGATCATTGGAGGAGGGGAGGTGGTAGGAGGAGACTGGAGGATGGAGTGGGAAGAGCTGAGTCCGGGAAAGAAGGAGAGGGGTGATTAGGATTGGGTGATGGGAGGGTGGGGAGGGGTGGTCTGGGTGAGGCTTAGGCAGTGGGGGAGGGAGACAGGCTCCTGGGAGATCTAGTGGAACTCTGAGTGGCGCTGAGAAAAGGGGAGTGAGGTTGCTCAGGACGGGGATGACCGTGGAGAGGGGTAAACCTGGCAGGTGTGGGAGACCCTGGTAGGGGAGAAGGAGTTGATGAAAGAGGAGGTGGGGCTAGAGCTAGACCCAGGAGGAGAGGAGGCGAGGCGGGACTGGGGTAAATAGGGAGAAGAGGTAGAGCTGCGTTGCACTAGAGTGTTTGGGGGAAGGGGTGAAGCAGGGAGAGGTTAGAGAGATTGGAGGGGACGCGGGGGCCAGTTGGAGTATTTGGGGGAGGGCGCAGAGCCCCTAGTGGCCGGAGCGCGCGGTCAGCGTCCTCCTCCTCGCCCCCAGCGGCCCCT